AAAATAGATGTCGGTAGTTATGTCTTAATCTGGTCCCCTTAGGTAAGAGAGCTTTTTATTAACTCCAGCTGCTGGAACAGGTACCTGATGCTGAGCTTGTGCTTTCTCCCTGTAGGTGTATCTTCTCTCCTGTGAAGAATCTGCTCCCTTGTAGAGAAGAGGAGCCTGGTGTGGAGCCCTGTTGCCTGCAGGGAGCAGAAGGACCGACAGGGGAGGAGCTGGAAGGAGTAGGCTGACTGGACAGTAGGAGTCTTCTACTGATAAATCACTTCTAGACTAGTAGAGAAGGAATGGAATGGTTAGACCTGTGGGTCTTTGAAATTTAGGTAGTGTTGTATTTATTACAGAGAAATAAAGGAATTTATTTGGACCTATCACTTGTGCATATTCTTAATTTACTTCTCAAGCTAAAGTTAATCTTCCCAAGTGTTAATGCTATCAGCCATGTAAAGGACAAAGCAGAACTGTTGATTCTTGCACTGCGAAGTCACAGACTAGCAAGGCCTGTGCCTCTCTGACTTGGCAAAAGCAGATCTCCCCCTGAGCTGAGTCTGGATTGGCTGCACTCCAGGCCTAGGGACGCCTGGAGAGGGTAACAGGAGATCTGTCCTACAGTATTTTCAGTAACGTTGATACCCTCTTCCTGTTCTGACCCTGGAGCTAAGACAGTACGACCTGTCTGGCTGTGTGACGGGGATACAGTCGGCTGATCTTGCTTAACCTTGGTGTGTTATGCAATGTTCCCAAGGTCGGCAGCACGAGGTTAGGCTTGGCACAGCTTTCCTCTTGCAGTCACTGTAGCAGAGCTGTCTCAGGAGCGCTGCCTGCAGGCTGGCCTCCAGCAGGACCCTGCTCCTCCTGCTGTGAAAGTCATGGCCAGCAAAGGCAGGGCACCTGTGTGGCCAACAGCAGGGCTTTGAGCTGCTGTGTAACAGCCCTGTCTGCTGGTGTTTGGTGCTGGGAGTGCCCAAGTTAAGGGCAGGGATAAACATTTTGATTTGGGGAAATTGTTCTGTTCTATGATGAGTCTGTCTTTCAACTTTTGTCAAACATGACTAAGGAAAAGCAGTGAGCCCTGGCTCTTGCTGGTCCTCTCCCACAAGTTCTCAGTCACAAGGAAGAAGAGCTGGAGATTGCAGCTGAGTCACTGCAAGACACTTTGGCCGTGAACTCTCACCAAGTCTGTTACAATTGAGACATCCCCAGGGCTGACACATGTCAGTAGCTGGAGCTGGGATCCAGTTCAAATAGCAGAGGGAGCAAAGGCTTGGGACCATGTCTGGTGGCTTTGGCCGCAAGTGTCTGCAGTCAGGCAACAGCTCTTGGCCAACTAGGCAAGGTCAGGACAGGGTCTGCTTGTTCTCTCCCATCAGTTGCAGATACCTGTTCTCTGAAGCCAAGGGCCAGGATCTTAACCAGGGAACCCTTCCCATGCAGCTGGGAGCAGAGGAGCTCTGCTGGCACCTGTCACTGCTGCCTGTGGCAGAGCCCCGTCCAATGATTCCTGGGAGCTGCAAGGCTGGGAACTCATCCTTGCCTCTGGCCTCTTATGTTAACTTAGCTATGCTGAGATGTTTTTCCTGCATGATTCGTTGTGCACGATTCACTTCTTTAAGCGGACGGGGCAAAGGATGCTGATGTGTCCTGGCACAGCTCTCCTGCCCTGTTCCCTCAGTGCTGGGCATCAAGGTATTGTGTTGTTAAAGAAGTTGCTTTACCCCAGATTACCTGTAGAAGGACCTCAGGCATCACATCTCAGAAAAGTAGTTTATCGAGATGGTACAGTGGAAAACCAGATCAAGCTGGGTGCCTCTGGCGAGGGCTCCGTGATGGTGTCGCGGGCGGGAGGGGCTGTCTGGCCGCCCTT